GAGAGATCCCTCACCCCTTCCACTATGTAAGGGCATTGCAAAAGTATGCTCATTTATGAGCCAGAAAGTTTGTCTTCTATAGACATGAATCTACTGGCACCTTGATCTTGGACTTCCCAACTTCCAGAACCTTGGGAAATAGATTTCTATAGTTTTTAAGCCACCCAGTCTATGGTATACTGTTATAGTAGTCTAGATATCTTGCTTGCAAGATTACTCAGCAGATGTTAATCTTTCTCTGGGATTTATAAAATTTGCAACACATTTTGGATTACCTGAGTAAGCACTGCAGTGTGCTCATCACCACAACTGATATAAATTACACCTAGATTCTTCAGTGCACCAATTGAACGGGGCTTGTAGCTTTGCTCTGTTGGAAGAAAGCAGAATTTTTAGAGTTTGAGAAATAGATTCAGAATTTCATGAGGTTTTTTTTTAATTTTTTTTATTGTTAGTTGTTCAAAACATTACATCTAACTTGATATATTTCACAGTTTCATTCAAAAGGGTTATGAACTCCCATTTTTACCCCGTATACAGATTGCTGAATCACATCAGTTACATCAATTACATTTCCTTTGATTTATATTTGTAATCCTAGTAATACCTTTCATGTTATCTTACAATTCATTAACATAATTTTTAAAGTGCATAATCAAGGGCATAAAACAGAAAGAAAATTATTTTGTTTTGATTTTATTAGTACTGGGAACTGAACCCAGGAGTGCTTAACCACTGAATCACATCCCCAATCATTTTTATTTTTTTATTTTGAGACAGGGTCTTGCTAAATTATTGAGGACCTCGCTAAATTGCTAAGGCTGGCTTTGAACTTTCAATCCTCCTGCCTCAGCCTCCTGAGTCACTGGGATTACAGGTGTGTGCCAACATGCCTAGTGAAAACTATTATGGAAAAAAAATGGAGCTGTCCTTTAGCATTTATTCAGAAACTATTTGTTCTTATGGAATGCCTGAAACTATTAACTTAGAAAGCTAAGTTTTAAGACTCACTTCTAATAATACTGTTAACATATTGTATTCATTTCTGCCATATTGTAAGTGATCTGCAAATAGGTAATAATAATTGAGATGAGAAGAGAAGCTACATCATATTAAGGGTGTTACATAAAATGAGATGTAAATGCTCAGCACAGTACTAGCACATAATAGGTGTTAAGTATATATATGCCAAATGCAAAGAATTGAACAGGGAGGACAGGGTTCCTGGAGCAGACTTCTTGGTGAGTTTTGTTTTTACCATTTAGAAGAGTTTTGTCTAGAAGGACTGGTTATTTCCCCTAATGTTAGTAGTCTACTAAGCCAGTGGTTTCCAAATTGTGCTGCACATTGTAATCCCCTGGGAGATCTTTAACAATGATTGAAGCTTGGCTCTCACCCCAAGACATTCTGATTTCACAGGTATGGAGTTTAACCAGGGCATCAAGATTATTAAAGGGATCCTGTGGTGATAGAATAATGGCCTTGCAAAGAAAAATGGTCTCTTGCGTTCTAATCCCAGAGCCTTGGATCTGTCAGGTTCCATGGCACAGGGGAGTTAAGGAAGTAGAGAGAATTAAAATGCTCATTAGTTGACCTTAAAATAGGGAGATTAGAACCAGCGGATCCCAGCGACTCAGGAGGCTGAGGCAGGAGGAGTATAAGTTCAAAGTCAGCCTCAGCAACTTAGCGAGGCCCTAAGCAACTCAGAAAGACCCTGTCTCAAAAGAGTTGGGGACGTGGCTCAGTGTTAAGAGCCTCTGGGTTCAATCCCAAGTACCAAAAAATAAAAGAAGGGGGCGGGGAGATTAGCTTGAATGATCCAGGTAGACCCAGTGGTATCATCAGGGTCCTTTGAAGAAGAGGGAGAAAGAAGAGTCAATATCAAAATAATGAGATTGAAGAAAAACTTCATCAGCCACCACTAGCTCTGAAGCAGAAAGAGGGCTGCTAATGTCAGAGTAATCAACACAAGGGGAAGCAGGAAAAGGTGAGGAATGAGATCCACTTCCTGCCTCCATGAGGGAAGGCAGCCCTGCTGATGCCTTGACTTTAGCCCAGTGAGTCCAAATGTCAGACTTCTGATCTCTGGAACTGTAAGACGATAATTATAAGGGCTGGGGTTGCAGCTCAGCAGTAGAGCACTGTGCCTAGTACACAGAAGGCTCTGAGTTCTATCCCCATCACTGAAAAGGGAAAAAAAACAAAAACAAAAACAAAACAAAACAACAACAACAAAATAATAACTTTGTGTTGTTTTAAGGCACTAAGTTTGTGGAAATAGGAAATAAAATAGCTCTCCAGGTGATCGCATGTGTCACAGTTTGGGAACCCCTGTTTTAGCCTTGGAAACTGCCCCTGCCCTTTGCCCAGCTTGCACCCAGACTTTCCTCACCTGGGACATTTTTCCCACTAAGGGCCAGCTGCCCTGCATTGTTGTTTCCCCAGCCAAATGAAGTCCCACAGAGGGACAGGGCAAAGCTGTGAGCTCCTCCTGCAGCCACCTGAGCCAGTGGAATGCCCTCCAGGGACTTCACCCTCTGCGGACTGGCTTGGGAGGGGAACTCGTTCCCCAAGCCCAGCTGACCATGGCTGTTCTTTCCCCATGAAAACACTTGGCCATCTAAAAAAATAAAGAAAACAAATTCAGAGTTGCACACACTGGAATACCAAATTCAAGTAGAACCTACTTAATCCTGCAAATCCCTCACCCCCCCCCCGACTTCATTGAGGTCTAACTGACAAAACTCCATGCGTTTAACGTGTTCAACATTATATTTTAATTTACATACATATTGGGAAAAGAATGCCATGATCATCTAATACATTAATTACTTACTTTTTAATACATTCATTAATTACTTTTTCTGTTTGATGAGAACATCTCTTCTCCATGCTAGGGCTGGAGCTCAATAGTAGAGATTGAACCCGGGACCTTGTGCATGCTAGGCAAGCACTCTGCCCCTGAGCTTTATCCCTAGTCCTGGCGTAAGGATTATTTGAGCTGCACCTGAGAATCAACAGAGGCAGGAAGAGTTCTCTGCCCTCCCCTGATCAGCAAAAGAGCAGGGTATAAATTTCTCTTGTAAAGCTGTCTGCTTTTCCCACCCTGGGGAGAGGACAGCAGATGGAGAGTTGACATGGAGATGAATCTGTACAAAATAAATTACTAAAATAGCCCTTATCTTCCATTAGTATCCCCATATGTTTTTTAGTCACTTTTTCACAACTTATTTTTCCTTGAAGCCCAAACTCCTTTTCTTTTGTTAAAGTTGTATATGGGTCCCTGAGTCTAACCACTTCTTTTTAGTTTCATTTCTGTTTCTGTAAACTCCTGTGTACAGAAAGATTAATAAAAATTGGATGCCCTTCCTTTGTTAATCTGTCTTCTGTTCATTTAATTCAAAGCCCCCCAGACACTAAACATAGGAGGGTAGGGGAGAAGATTTTCCTCCCCAATATTCTTTAAGAAATTTGGATTGAGGATGAACAGTGTGGGAGAGGTTAGTAGGCAAAATGTGGAGGTCATAATTTTGACATTTTGACTTTTCTTTCTTTGATCTAGGTTAAAAAAAAAAAACTACAAAAAACAAATAGCCCCTTGTCTTGGTTTACCAGTGCAGACAAGCCATTCAGCATTAAGAGCCAAGGGCTGGAAATAAAACCACTACTAAGTTCTAAGGGAGTTGGCCAGTCAGATATGAGCTGGGATGACCTCTTATGAGAAGATAAGAACAAGGCACTATTTAAAACACAGCCAGAACAAAGAAACTTGAAACAACAACAATAACAACAACAACAAAACAACATGAAGAACAACATATCTAATGAAATCTAGAAAGTTAAAAACTTTTAAATGTGCTAAAATGAACCCCAATCCATTCAACATCAACAGTTATCATTCTGAAAACTACTTCCAAATGACACTCAAGAGTTCCAAAATGTGATTTTTACCTTTTGATAATGCCAGGGAGTGGTAGTGTCCACAGGAAACTTGTATTATTTTTATGTCAGCTAGAGCATTTATTTTCCTATAATAAAAATAATACAAAATCTACTATAAATCTTTATTTAGGTAGGGTGAGTTGCCAGGTAAATTACAGATCTACAGGTATATAGGACACTGTAGGACACTGTTGTAGGAAAAAAATTTCTCTCTCTCTCTTTCTCTCTCTCTCATCAATAAACCCAGAGGGCCTTAACCACTGAGCCATACCCCTAGCCCATTCATATACACCACTAATTAGATCATAGGCATTTGATTACCTTAAAAGAGTCACAGTTACTCTGCTGTTTACCTGCACTTCACTGAATTTCTTCACTGTGACTTTCAGAGCACTATGCAAAAATCACATCATATCAAACTGTTTTTCACATGACATCAACATTTACAAAAATACAGGACAGAATCCAAAACAGTATATAATGCAAACACTACTTGTATTGGACTTTAAGGCAATACACAATATAATTTTTTTTATTATTTACTTATTGGCCTAAAAGAAAAACAAGCTTCTTCAAAACATAGAGCACAGGCTTTAGAATTTCTAGATCATGTCTTCATCTTATAAGTTCTGAGAGATCTCTGGGTTGAATCATACAAAACTGTCACATTTGTAGATCAGAAAGAAATAACCATCAGCAATTTCATATGGTTGAACCTAAAGGAACTCAGAAAGGTCAACAGTTATCAGGTTATAGAAGCAGACTCATATCCTAGCCTTTTCATTTTAAGTTTGATCTAAAGCTGCATCTGTACACATTTTGGATTTGGCTTCGAAGCTTTTTCATACATAGTGAACTATACCCTAACTCCCTATTTATTCTTATGAAATGCCTGAAACTATTGACTCAGAAAGCTAAGCTTTAAGACTCACTTCTAATAATACTATTATCATATTGTATTCATTTCTGCCATATTGTAAGTGATCTGCAAATAGGTAATAATAATTGAGATGAGAAGAGAAGCTACATCACACCATAACCTACTTCTGTAACAAGTAGCCTAATCTCAGTCACAGAAACTGTTTAAAGCACACAGATGCAGGCTGTCTCCACCTCTCTTTCAGTTTCCATATGTCCTTTCTTTTCTCTGGCTACAACTATAACATGCCCATATGGTTGGGTAAGGTAACCTCTTTGGGTCCAGACTGCTGCCCAATTCTAAAATCATATATAAAGCCAGTTTAGATCTGCAAAACCAGATTTGCTGTCATTTTCTTTTAGCAGGTCAGTTTTCATTTTCTCAAACCTCATGATCTCTCATATATGACTAGAGGAGGTAACAAAAGATAACTTCCTGAAATTAAAACTGGCATTTAAAAAAATTCCCCAAGTGTGTAATTCATGAACACAAAATTCAGAGCTAACTTTTTGTCATAATACTTGCTCTGGGAAGTTGTTTGTGAGGCAATGTGATATTTCTCACCATTTACTAAGTAAAGTATTAGAACCAATTGGTTTAGGACAAGCGGAAAGATGGCACTGGGAGGAAACTACTCCTCTTCCAACTTATTTTCCGGTGCTTGCAAATTAACACAACAGATAGATTAATAGGAGAAAAGACAAAATGTACTTATGTGTGCTTATTATTGTAGAGTAGCCTGAGGGGTGTGTGTGTGTGTGTGTGTGTGTGTGTGTGTGTGTGTGTGTGTTCAATGGGAGAGTATTGGAGTTTCTTTGGGGCTTTTTGATGGTAATGTTAATGGCTAAATCTGCAGGAAACAACTACAGATGGGAGTTCATGGCAATTTTATTTGGGAGAGCCTCCACTTTAGTCAGATAAAGGATGTTCAGATAAGATACTTTCTGCATCTTCTGAAGTCCAAATGCTTTTACTTTGAAATAATCTTGGGGCTGGGGATGTAGCTCAGTGGTAGAGCATTTGCCTAGCATGAGTGAGGCACTGGGTTTTCAATCTATAGCACTGCCAAAGAGGGAAAAAATTAAATAATCCTCATACTCAGGGTGTCCACGTGGGTCACATTCCAATTCACTCTGCCCTTTTCCTTCATGGGACTTTAAATTTAGTGTCATACATTTTTTTTTTCTGTCTTCTTCCCTGACCATACTATAATCCCTGAGGTTAGGGACTGTGTTCCTCACAGTTCTCTTTGTATCCTGGCATCTTGTATGGTCCCTGATACACGGTACTCAAAATTACTGAACAAATAAAAGAAAGAATTGAAATACTTACTTAGGTATAAAGTTTATTTCCTTAATTTCTCCAATCCCCAGCTGCCCTTCAGAACCAGCTCCCCATGCAAAGACTCTTCCTCTGTGGCAGACAGCGAGAGAGTGCTCCTTCCCGCAGCTCACGAAAGCAACATGGAGAGTTGCCAATGCCTGAATTAGTTCTTTAATACAAAATAACCCCCCCACACAAGATTATTAATTAACAAGTATGAAATAAAACTTTCCTTCAAAAAGTAGGATTACTTCGATTCTTTGTCTCATTCAACAGTCTCATGGGTTTTTGTTTGTTTTAAATGGGGCCTTGCTAAGTTGTTAAGGTTGGCCTTAAACTTGTGATCCTCCTGCCTCAGCCTTTCAAGTCACTAGGATTACAGTCAAGTGCTACCATGCCTGGCTCCAACAGTCTTTTAAATCAAAACCTAGAGCCCATGCTACAAGGAAATAAATTCAATGTGTATTATATCACTTCATGGGAAAATAATAGACTGGGATACCATCTGGCTGAGATACTGCAATGCCTTGGGTTCCTATGTAAGCGAACTGAAACCCAACTCAGTGATGGTCACAGCCTAGAAAAATGAAACTTAAGCTTAACCAATCAGAAACTGCCAGATGACCTCTAAGGACTTTAACCAAGTTTTCTGTCTTGCTTCCTCAAATACCTTATAAGTTTCCATCTTGAATCCCTTCAAATCCCCCTCAGTGGAATCTAATAGCCTAAGGTCTGATGCTGCCCAATTCATGAATTACTAAATATTTAAATAAACTCTTTAAAATTTTAATGTTCTTAAGTTTATCTTTTAACAGCAGATAAAAGGGTGAGCACTATGGTGGGCAAGGCCCATAGGAACTAGGATCTTTAACCGAATGTTTCATTCCCCCTTCCCCCTACTATGAATCAGCATCTGCTCATCAGAGAAAACATTTGGTTCTTGGTTTTTTTGGAATTGACTTATTTCACTTAGGCATGAGCCTGAACTATTATATAGCAATTTAACATATATTTTCACTTGGGCATGGTGGTGCACATCTGTAATCCCAGCAACTCAGGAAGCTGAGACAGGGGTTTAAAGTCCCATGCCATCCTCAACAATTTAGCCAGACCCTGAGCTACTTAGGGAGTCCCTGTCTCAAAATAAAATAAATCCTGTGTGATGGGACACACCTGCAATCCCAGTGGCTCAGGAGACTAAAGCATGATCTCAGATTCAAAGCCAGCTTCAGCAATTTGGCAAGGCCCTGTCTCAAAATAAAAATATAAAAAGGGCTGAGGATGTTTCTCAGTGGTAAAGTGACCCTGGGTTTTAATCTCCAGTACCCAAAATAAAATGTTTTCAAAAATACATTATAAAAGGGTAATATATTCATGACATTTGTGAAAGACACAATTTACAGAATTGTAAATACAACACTGTATAATGACATGACTTTTGTAAAAGTTAAATACATACACACAAAAATGGGCAAGGAGAAAAAGGCAACAAATGTTAGGAGTTATCTTTGGGTGTTGGGGTTACAGGTGATTTTTTTCCCCCCATAATTCCATAACAATCAGTAATGGTGAAAATGCTGTTCTAATAGGGAGAACTTGTCTCAAAAACAAACAAGTTGGAGATGTGGCTCAGTGGTTAAGTGACCCTGGGTTCAATCCCTGGTACAAACAAACAAACAAACAAACAAAAAAGCAAGAACGAAAAAAGCTATTCTATGGTTTTAAATTTCAAAATAAAAGCTCTCCCGTGGTATTTCTGGGCTGATTACAGGTGTCTAACCCACAAACCATGTTTGCAAAATAAACTGATTCCTCCAGCTCCATCCAGGTCTGGAAAGTCAAGGGAGGGACCCCATCTCTGTCCAGAGATGCGAGGTCCAGGTCAGTTCTGCTGTTTGGCAGGAAACAGGAACTGGAAACCGAAACAAATCAGAAGCGCTCGGGGAAATGAAACTGACCATTTGCGCTCGGGAGCGGGAAGCGCAGTTTGGGCATCTAGGTGGCCGGGCGGACCCGAGGTGCAGCATACCCTCCTGCCCCGCGCGCAGGGCCCCTCCCTGCGCCCGGGGGCTTACCTGGCCGCTCCCGGCGAGGCACTCCCCTCTGGCCCAGCTGCCCCCGGCTGTTGTCCCCGAAAGAGTGGACCTCATGGTGGTTCAGCAGTAGCAGAGAGTGGCGCTCCCCGCTAGCCGCCTGCAGGAGCTGGTCGCCTCTGGCGCTCCTGGGACCCCGTGCCAGCCCGCGCTTTCGCCCCTGGGAGCCAGCGCCCCAGCTGAAGTACATCCTGCGATCCCTGACCGCCGGCTCCACTCTCAAAGGCTGGTGATGGGTGTGAGCTGATTTCTCAGAAATCGAAAGAATGGATGACAGTCCAGCTCCCGCTCTGGCTCACTCCGCCTTCCAACTCACTTCGCTCCTGTAGCGCTACCCTGTCTCCTACGTCATCCTGCCACCTCCCTGCCCGAGGTCTAGGTGCTGAAGAACCCGGAGGACTCTCCAGGAAAAACATCTCCATCCCTAATTAAACCATTTAGGAGCTGTGCCATTGTGGGCAAATTATCTAATGCTTCTGTGCCTCAGCTCCCTTATTGTCTGTGACTTGTGACACTAATAAAGCAAATTTACCATGTTTTAGGATAAATCAAGAGATGATATATTTAATGTTGGAATAATGCTAAGTGGAATAATAATAGCATCTGAGTGCCTACTCTCTTCCAGATATTGGTTTTACATCAGAACTGCAATAATGAAAGACCTCCATGATATGTTCACCTTCTCCTGAGGGAAAAAGAGCATGAACAGATAAGTTTATAGTATAAAATCAAGTGGCAAGATAAAGAAATATAAGGCAGGAAAGAGAGGATGGAGAAAGAAGGAATTAGACGTTTTTTGTGTTGTTTTGTTTTTGTTTGTATCTTTGTTAGTATCGAGGATTGAATCTTGGGGTGCTTTACCTCTGAGCTCAGCCCTTTTTCTTTTCTTTCTTTCTTTTTTTTTTTTTTTTTGGTACCAGGGATTGACCACTGAGCCACATCTCCAGCCCTATTTTGTATTTTTTTAGAGAGAGTGTCTCACTGAGCTGCTTAGTGGCTCACCATTGGCTTTGATCTCGTGATCCATCTGTCTCAGCTTCCCAAGTCACTGGGATTAGAGGCATGTGCCAGCATAGCCGGCCTTTATTTTCTTTTTTGACTCAGGGACTCCCTAAGTTGCTGAGGCTGACCTGGAACTTGCCATCCTCAGCCTCCCAGTGTTTGGCATTATGGTGGGTGCTGCCTGCCTTGCAGGAATTAGCATTTTTGAGAAGATACCAGAGGCGCCTTCTCTGGTGAAGGGACATTTGAGCAAGAGCTGAAGGGACATGGGTAATGAGAATGATTCACAGTCATATCCAAATGAAGAAGATAGGGAGAAGCCGTTGGAAGATTTTGAACAGAGAAGCACAGGATCAGCTTTAGTTTTATAAGAGCTATTCTGTCTATTCTGTAGAAAATCACAAGACAGAAAGCCAGATAGCAGAGGACACTATGCAAGTGCAGGTCAAATGTGATATCCTAGAGTAGAGGAGAGAAATTAGCAGATTCAAGATGTATTTTGAAAGGTAGACTCCCCAGATTTGCTGGTGGATTATAAATGGGAGGGAAGAATGAAAAGGATGAGGTGTTACTCCAAGGTTGGCCTGAGCAATCTACTGGGATAGGAAGTCTAGTGGGAAGTAAAGATTTGGGACTATGTGGGCCTGGGGTTGTAGCTCAGTGGTACAGTGCTTGCCTAGCACGTGTGAAGCCCTGGGTTTGATCCTTAGGTCTGCATAAAAATAATAAATAAATAAAATGCAGGTATTGTGTCCATCTACAACTAAATAAAATAAAATAAAATAAATAATAATAATAATAAAAGACTTGGAGCCAGGCAAGGTGGTGCACACGTGTGATCTCAATGGCTTGGGAGGCTGAGGCAGGAGAGGAGGATTGTGAGTTCAAAGTCAGCTTCAGCAACTTATCAAGGAGCAAAGCAATTCAGTGAGACCCTGTCTCTAAATAAAATACAAAATAGAGCTGGAAATATGGCTCAGTGTTTGAGAGCCTCTGAGATCAATCCCTGGAACCCCCCATCTCCCCAAAAAGACTTGGGACTATGGATCAGGAGTACAGTTTGGTAATAATAACTGTGACATAATTGTTTGCCGCAGTCTGGCTGCAGCAAAATAACCAGGGGTGACGAGCAACTTGTGTAGATGGATACAGCAGGAGTAGGAGCCGTTTATTGTAGGATAGGAGCAGTATTTATACATTCCACACAGCTTATCTTAATTAGCATGAACTAGATACATCAGTCAACCAATAAGGAATCTCCACACTTAATGGCGTTACTTCATAAACCACTCCCTCTGGCAAAATGCCAGGCGCCATCCAGACTTGTTTACAGACTCTAACCTTTGCCAGGCACCATCCTGACTTGTTTACAGACTCTGACAATTGTTGTACAAGGAGACAATAGGATAGACCAGTTTGGAGTTGTGGGAGAAGTTTGGATAGTCAAAAAGTTGGGGGCCAGCAATATAGAGATGATGCTTAAAGCCAGAAGTCTGAATGAGGTCACTAGGTATTGTGTGGCTAGAGGTTGGAGGACTTATCACAAGGGGAAAAACAGGAGGGAATGGTGTGCCCCAAGCAAATATGGAATAAGTAAATGATCAGCTCAGTCAATTGTTCATCAAGCAAGGTAAGGATTGAGTATTGACCCTTAGGTCTGGCAAAATGGATGTCATTGGTGACTTTGACCTTGTTAGATATCATGGGCATTATTATTTTATATTTTATTATCATAAAATCTATTCATATAATCTCAGTTTACCTCTCTTTATGATTGTATTTTAAACTTTCTAAAGGTAAGAACAAATATGATTTGTTTTTTCTATCTCAAGAGTATTTGGCACTTGCTAGATATTATTAAGTGTATATTAGACAGGTAAGTAGTGAGTAAATGAATAAAATCCATATTTCTAGTTCCGTTGCTGTATATCATGTATAACCTTTTTCTGAATGGTACTTTGCTAAATGTTTATTGCTTTCTTCAGTGAAAGATATCAAGCCTTCATTCTAGTTTATTTCTTTAAAAGTCTATTGGAGAACTAAAATATAAATATATTATACTCATTTTTCTTCCTTAGTACTTAGCACATCATCTGCCAAACTAAAAAAAAAAAATCAATAAATGTTAGTGCATAAGTGAATAAAATATCTTACAAAGAAATTAAGTATGATTTGATTGTTGGAGAAATATGTAATTCTCACTTGATCTGTGTTCATGTGCTTGGAAAGAGAGCTCCCATTTGTTGAATGTTTACTATGTGTTGATTATTTTCTATAATGTATCTAAATTCCTTTGCCAGCTTTTCTCTAGTTAAGATTCTTTTGGTTGCAAGTGACAGAAAATATGAACTTTGCTCACTTGAGCAAAAGGGAAATTTATTGGTACATTGCATTATTCATATTAAAAATATTTGCTGCCCCTCTCCATTCTGTGGAATTAAGCTGGAGCTTGTAATTTGTTCTGGCCAATGGTATACAAATGTGAAACAACTTCCAGGCACGTAAGTACTTAGAGCCAGTACTTATTTTTATTACTCTTTTTTTCCTCTGTTCAAATAAAATATGATTTTCTCAATAGAGATTGCTCTATCATCCTGAGTCCCAAATCAAAAACAACAAACAAGTAGAGCTGCAGGGAACCCAGATAGCATAAGGGAGAAATACACAGCTGTTGTGGTAAGCCCCTGAGTTTTTAGGAGATGTTTGTGATAACAGCAACACTTAGCCTCCTTTCCTGACAGTCACATAACTGAGAGGTCCCCCAGTATGGCTGATATCAAGGCTTTGCTAAAAACAAGATCTTCAACAATGTCTGCATCCATGGGCAATGACTCCATGTCTGCCTCATCTCTGCCTCTTGTTATGAGGGCATCAACTTCAGTTTTTATGCAATGTATTCCACAGTTCCAGAACCTCCTCTGACATTGCAAGAGTGTTACTGAAGCTCTACACTTTGTGTCCAAAATAATAATAATAATAGTAATAATAATAATAATAATAAGGCAAATATACATAGTTAAATATTATATTCAGCCACAATTAAGAATGAAATTCTATTATTTGTGGCAAAATGGATGAAATTAGGACATTATGTTATGTAAAATAAGCCAGGCACAGAATGAAAAATATCATATTCTCTTTCAGATGTAGAAGCTAAAAAAGTTTGGTCTCGAAGTAGAAGAAAGAATAAGGATAATAGAGGTTAGAACGGGTAGAGGGAGGTTGAATAAAAGATACCAACATACAGTTGGGTAAGAGGAATAAGTTCCAGTGATCTGCTGCACAGTGGGGTGACTATAGTTCACAATAGTTTATCCTATATCTGATGCAGAACTAGAAGCAAGAAGCTTAAAACCTCCAAAACGTAAAGAAATGATTAGGAGGTGGAAATGCTA